TTTATTTAGATTTTTATTAAATATACACAAGGTGTGCTAGAGCTCAGGAAGATAGATAGATAGATAGATATACACACATAGAAGAAAAACAGGGAGGGGAGGGGAAAGAAAGAGGTAGGGAATGTTTAGTCTCTAGGACATGCATTATACTTATGGTGTGTTGAAATGGACTTGTAGAATTTGAATTGAGCATTAAAGAATAGGTAGAATTTCTAAGTAGACCAAATTGAAAAGCAAAAGTGAAAGTTAAAAATGAAAGCTGGGCACCAACGGCTCACAACTGTACTCTTGTCTACTAAGGAGGCTGAGATCTGAGCATTGTGGTTCAAAGCTGGCCTGGGAAGAAAAGTCTATGAGATTTTTATCTCCTATTAACCAGCAAGAAACCAGAAGTGGACCTGTGGCTCAAGTGGTAGAGCACTAGCCTTGAACAAAAAAGGTCAGGGACAGTGCTCAGACCGAGTTCAAGCACCAGGACCAGAACAAAATTATAAGAACAAAAAGTGAATGGAATGTTTAGTGAACAGGAGATTCATTGGGGTAGATGAAGGTAGCATATTCAAGATTAGTAAGGGAAAACAAAAATGAACATCACAGAAATTAAGTTGTACAAATTTAGAATATTAAGTTGAGTCTGTCAGCAATGGAGAGCCTCAGAAAGTTGATCTGTTTATGAAGCCAGTATTTATTAATTCAATAACATCAACCTTTAAGAAGAGGAAAAATTTATGTGATGCTGAAAATTCCGAAATGTGAAGCAGTTATAGAAATGTGGCATATACTGTGACTATATATACATACAAACTGAGAGAGTAATAGTAGAACAAATAATTACTCTGGTAGGCCTTATGGTACAGGAATACCAGTATGCTTTTTTTTTTTGATTGGTTGTGGGGCCTTGAACTCTGGCCTGGGTGCTGTCCCTGCTCAAGGCCAACACTCTACCACTTGAGCCACAGCACCACTTCCAGCTTTTTCTGCTTATGTGGTGCTGAGGAATTGAACCCAGGGCCTCATGCATGCAAGGCAAGCATTCTACCACTGAGCCACCTTCCCAGCCCCACCAGTATTCTTTTAAATAAAATAATTAATTGACCAGTAGTAGTCTTCTGAAGGATGTGTTTCTTACAGCTGAATTCTATATAGGTAGGCTTAAAAAATTAAATAAGAAGTAAATACCCTAAAAACTCTAACCTCTTTTGAGTATGTATTAAGGAGACAAGATAACTTCCTGTTATTCTGACATTCCCCCTATAACATAATTTGCTTACTTTGTTGAACATATAAATACTAGAGACTACTAATCCTAATCACAGAGGTTAGTACCGAAAAGGCAACTCTAACTAGATACTATATTGGAAATGAACTTTACAACTGGGGGCAGGAGAGGAGTTGGGGCAGGAGGAGGGGAAGAATGGAAGGAAATTAGAGAGTAAATTCATTACCTTACTTATGTAATTGTAATCCCTCTGTACTTTACCTTTATAAAATTTTTTAACAAGTGAAATTCCAGAGTCAAAAAACAAACATATAAATAAAAAGAAGCACTACCTCACATACAGACCAGAGTTAACACCCTTGATATAAATATTTAGATATATTGCTTAGAGGTACACATACACACACACACACACACACACACACACACACACACACACACACACACCATACAAATACACTAACAGCTTCTGCAACTCAACAGTCTCCTTTCTCCTTAGAAAAGACTCAAGCATGTGCTGGGAAGGTGGCTCAGTGGTAGAGCGCTTGCCTTGCATGCATGAGGCAGCACCATATAAACAAAAAGAAAAAAGCTGGAAGTGGCGCTGTGGCTCAAGTGGTAGAGTGCTAGCCTTGAGCTGAAGACTGAGGGACAGTGCCCAGGCCCAGAGTTCAGGCCCCACAACCAAACCCCCCCCCCAAAAAAGAAAAAATGTGAGTTGTGCGGCTGGGAAGGTGGCTCAGTGGTAGAGCGCTTGCCTTGCATGCATGAGGCCCTGGGGATTCCTCAGCACCATATAAACAAAAAGAAAAAAGCTGGAAGTGGCGCTGTGGCTCAAGTGGTAGAGTGCTAGCCTTGAGCTGAAGAGCTGAGGGACAGTGCCCAGGCCCAGAGTTCAGGCCCCACAACCAAACCCCCCCCCCAAAAAAAGAGAAAAGAAAAGACTCAAGCATATCAAGAGACTCTTAAAGGCTTTTTTAATTTAAAATTAATGCAAAGAACTAAGTATAAGTGACACTAAAAGTCAGACTTCCTTTCTGGTTAATGTGCAGAATTAATATCCTTTATATCCTTTAATACTTGGCAGCACACCAAAGTGACCCCTCCTTCACACATAGGAATACATGCACATGCACAGGCACACATACACACAGAACCTCCTTCTCCTCTCTGATGTCCAAGATATTCCAGACTATATAACAAATCACACATTTGGAAGTGATTCATATGTTTCCACTCTCCATCTGAATATAAGTGAAAAATAGTTTCCATTTAATTTATAATCAGAATTTTCTGCACATTTCCTTAAAAATTAAAGGGAAAGTATTTAAAAATCTGGCCTTTTTCCTCCAAAAATTACTGCTTAGCTGCAGACTAAAGTATCTTTTGATAAAATACTTTTCTGTTCCTTCCATCTCTGGAGATGATGGCTATAACTGCATGATGCCAAATGTCTATTCAATCATCCAGTGTTTTCATGTTTTCAAATAGCTGGTATTCTGTAGATACAGGCTTACTCTATCCAGTGTTTTTACAGTACATATGGATGCAGAGATTTCTGTTCGGAATATTTCTCAAGGCCAGTGCCTTATTATAGTCCTAACACCTGCAAATATTTGGCAGATTGTTCCATCCTGTCCATATCCCTTACTCTTCCTGCAACCCCACCCTCATCTTTTGCCAACATGTAGCTGTAAATATATATAATATTTCCTTTTCTTGATGTTGCTGGTCATTTAACTACAACCAATAAAATATGCAGTTGCTGAAGCAGAAAGAAAAGTTTTAAATTGCATTTCATGGGAAAAACTTAGGTCCAAAACAAAGTGATAGCAGGCTATAGTACAAAGGATAGTCAACATTGCCAGGCACCAGTGGCTCACGCCTGTAAGCCTAGCTACTCAGGAGGCTGAGATCTGAGGATCGCGGTTCAAAGCCAGCCCAGGCAGTAAAGTCCGTGAGACTCTTATCTCCAATAAACCACTAGAAAACTGGAAGTAGTGCTGTGGTTCAAGTGGTAGAGCGCTGGCCTTGAGCGGAAGAGCGCAGGTACAGCGCCCAAGCCCAGAGTTCAAGCCCCACGACCGAACAAAAAAAAAAAAAAGAAAGAAAGGATAGTCATCTAGAGTCTGAATTTCAGTTACAGTTCACTCCAAGCAATTCTGTGACTTTTAACGAAATAACCTATCAAAGCCCATTTGACTAGACCAGATCCAAGGCCTAACATATTTGATTCTAAGAATTGACGTCAATGAAATTATTCTCCTCTTCAGCCTTAATAAAAATGAGCAGGTCACCTTGAGTGAAATCAAAAGATAAACACTGACTTTTATCTACTTTACATATTAATAGTTATCAAAAGAAGCACAAACCATTGTTAGTGTGGCTATTCTCAATAATATCTACAGTAAATTACAGAAGAAAAATTCATCCTATTCTGAGAGAGTTCAAATAAATTTTTCAGATCTGGGAGAAAGAAAATCTCCACTCCTGGGGCTGGGAAAGTAGCTTCGCCTCGCATGCATGAGGCCCTCGGTTCAACTCCTTGGTACCACATAAAACAATAAATAAAAGAAAATCGCCACTCCCTTTTTTTCCCTCTCTTTCCATACTGTCTGTATCTTCTGACTTGGCCTAGGTCCACAGATCCTATTTGGGAGTACTAATGTCAGTATTAATTTCAACTCTTTTTTGTCTAGAATCTTTGTTAAATGGCTTCCATCTTAAGGGAAATTATGCCACATAGCAGGTAGGTAATGAGAATAAAACATTTAGGTAGATCTGACATTTGTTAACATCCATATGAGGTGGGGAGACTTTAAAACTAGTCATTTTGACTTGAACATAAGTATTATATGGTACAACATATAGAAATATCACAATAAAGCCCCTTTGTACAATTAACATGTCAAAAAAGAATAGAAGGAATATTATATGCCGTAACAACTTTAGAAAGCTGCCCAATGAAAATAAATGAAAGATTTGGACCTTAGGTGAGGATTGTAGACAAGTTCTTCAGCCTGTAATCCAACAATAGTCAACTTGAGCACAAAATTTGATACTGGATGAATTTATTATCTTCAGGTAAATTTTTTAAATTTTATTTTCTTGTAAAGATGCTGTACAGAGAAGTTACAGTTATATCAGTAAGGTGATGAGTACATTTCTTGTTGGGCATTGTTAGCTGGGTATTTAACCACAACTCCTAATATTGCAATACACTGAAGTTTCTTTTTTAAGCCAGGCTTGGATTAGCCCTGGGTTCAGTGCTTAATAACAAACTGTAATGACCAATGACAAACTTTTGTTTCTTTACCATACTGAGTATGCAAATATAAACGTACACTAATGTCTTCCACTAAAATCTGTCATCTGCAAAAATATACTCAGACATGTCCACCCACACCTACACAGTGACACACCCAAGCATATGCAAATGATCACCTATGCTAATTGCAGTACACCTACACAGGTATTCACATACTTAAAAGAAGAGGTAAAATGATAATAGAAAAGATAATGTGTAATATGTCACTGACAGGAGAAAGGCTGTTGCTTCCCTGAATGGACTTCTAGTGGATCTGGTCATTTGCCAACACCTCCACAACTCTCCAGAAGTGTATAAATAAAAGCAAATCCTAGCAAGAGCTTCTGGTGAGTAGATTATGCCTCAACTTGAAGTTAACTCACTCATGACTCATTTTATTAGGGAACTTACTAACTACGTAACTACATACTACATTGAGTCAATTATGTGAGGGATATTCCCCAGAATTCTTACCTTGAGTTTCTCAAATCGATCATTCAGGGAGGCGACCTGATGGTCTCGGTGACGACCCACCAGTTTGCATAAGGCACAGATCAATTGGTCATCAGATACACAGTACATGTTCACTTTCTCATTCTCATGGTCCAGACAGGTGATCCCTCGGAGATGTGTGTCTGGCACTGGTTCCACCAGGCGATGGCTGGTGAAAGGTTTCTTGTTGGGGTGAGTGGCCCGAAGGCAACGGTCACAATAGGAGACCTCACAGGTGATGCATGTTTTCACAGCATCCCTTGGTGGGTCCTGCTCACAGAACTGGCAAGCAATTCGCTCACTAGACATGGCGGAGCTGGGCCTGTAAGTCCTGTCCCGGCGGCTCTCACTTGGGGAATTAGGCCCACTAACTGAAGCCTTCTGGAAGCGATCAATAATGTTCTGCAGGGTCACATTCCTCTTGAGGCCATCCAGGCCCCGGTGGTTCAACGAGATAACATACCGGCACGTAGGACACTGGAAAGCAGTAATAGGTTCAATGGATTCACCAGAGCTACAGCTTGAGACCAAGATGCGATGGGCACAGCTGAAGCACAGGCTATGAGCACAAGGGAGCAGAAGGGGGTCTTCAAACAACTCGAGGCAGATTGGACAGGTCAATTCAGACTCCAGTGTTTCCATCTTTAGTGAAAATAATCCTGCTGAGGCATTAAGAACCACAGAGGCTGGGCTTTCACCTGCAAGGAATACAAAGCAAGCATCATTAAGCATTTTCAAAGGGAAAGTGGATATAGCATCAATTGTACTCTAACCAATGGAAGCCATATATGCTGGACTCCCTAGGGCTGCTTGAGCAATACAAAAGAGATTTGGGTATTAATCAGGAAGCCTTTCTTCCCCTTTCAAGCATTGTTTTTGACAAATGCTTGAGTTTATTTTCCTGCACTAATAAATAGAACTGAGTGGCCATCTCTGAATCCTAGTTTCCTGATTAACACTACCATTGCAGCTCATGGCATTGGTATGGATCATTCTTTCACATATTCTCCACTGACATCCTTTCTCCTGGATTGTGATGAGATGGAGGGCCTGCAAAAATCTCAATTTCCATTGTCCAACACCGTTCTCTATTTCACGTCAAGACAAGATATAAGGGCTGCTCCTGTTTCACATACAGTAGAAGGAAAACAAGGCTATATTTCAAACTAACTCACTACTTCCTGAAATGATTCCATTCTGAGTCTGCATAAAAGAAAGAGAGAGCTTAGAAAAATGCAGTTCTCTGTGCAAGATAATAAGTTCTTCTTCAGAGTGTGAACTTAAATTACTTCCTATTACTATGTGGAAATTTCTGTTCTATCTCATTTCTAGTAAACTGAGTTACTAGAGACAAAAGATGATAGTTTTCACCTTCACTTTCTTTCCTCACCTTCAGAAAACTTCTCATTTAAATGAGCTGAATGGGGAATACTTTCAACTTTTTTGCTTATTCAGCAATACTTGGTGATCAATGATGAAGTCATATTACCTTGTGGCTTCAGTTTGGTGTCATTATTAAATGCCTGCTGAACTACCACAAGCCTGATAAGTTATGTTTCTTTTCATACTTTCTAAGGTACAACATAACACAAGTCAAGTTCTACATAGAGTTTAGCAGGGCAAGAGGCTAGAACTTTACTGATCTGATAACATAAATTTTAGTGTGCATCAGAAAGTAAAAGAAGTCACTAAGTGATAAGAAACTAACCACTCAGTCAACCAATCTGTTCACCCATGAGAATTTCCTATAATGCATGTATTATATATTTTATTGTTTTTGTAATGATGATATACAGAGGGGTTACAGTTACATAAATCAGGTAATGAGAATACTTCTTTTTAAACAGCATCACTCCTTCCCTAATTCTCTCCCAGTTTTTCCTTCCTGTACCCACTCACAACGTAGTGTTTGGTGAGTACCACTGCTTTATTTGTTCACCCTTTATCCCACACTGTCTGTGCCCCTATTTACCCTCCCAAAACAGACAAACTTAGAACCAAGATTGAGCTGAACATACAGATACTTATTACCATGAGCTGTCCATTCATTAAAATCTATCACATAAATATTGTAAGTTAGACTTAACTAAGAAAAATATAAAACATATTGTTGGAGAATGTTCATCCTATTTATAGAAATGGGAAAGGAATCTTTTGAGTCTGACTAGTTTTTATTCATCATCTCATTGGCATTAGGAACCCTCATCAGGGCTTGAAATCTGGACTGTAGTGTTGATATTTGTTCAGATATTAACATTTATCAGTGAGAGCTGCATAGCCTTTTTATGGGATGCATAAAGATGGAGTACAATTATACTCAATGCAAAGTACAATGGATGCACAATCTAAAAGCTGCTTCTAAATCAAATATTTTACATGCACTGAACTAGTTAATGAAATCTACAGGAAATTTGTCTGTAATAGGGAAGGATCTTACTGTAAAACCACAATTCTAAGTTTAGTATTTTCAAGGGTTAATGTATAGCCTAATGTAACACCTATCAGCATTCACCTGCACAGGTGAAAACTTTATATAAAGTGTATCTTATGGAATCTTAGAATTGGAAGGGAAGATTTGGGGGGGAGGGACGCGGTTTGAGCCACAGAGCCACTTCTGGCTTTTTCTGTTTGTTTGTTTGTTTTGGTTTTTTTTTTGGCTTTTTCTGTTTATGTGGTGCTGAGGAATTGAGGAATCAAACCCAGGGGCTCATGCATGCAAGGCAAGCACTCTACCACTGAGCCACCTTCTCAGCCCTGGGAAGAGTTTTTAAAGAGGAAAAATTACAGCTTTCATTGAAGGCAGGAATTTTGCCTTCAAGTTATTTCTCTCTGTGCTCAAATTCAACATGTCCATAAGTGAACTTTTTTTTTTGTCTGTGGTGGGTCTTGAACTCTGGGCCTGGGTTCTGTCCTTCAGCTCTTCAGCTCAAGGCTAGCACTCTACCACTTGAGCCACTGAACCACTTCCAGTTTTCTGAGTGATTTAATGGAGATAAGAAAGTCATCGAGGGCTCAGAAGGTGGCTCAGTGGTAGAGTGGTTGCCTTGCACGCATGAGGCCCTGGGTTCGATTCCTCAGCACCACATAAGCAAAAACAAAAAAGCCAGAAGTGGCGCTGTGGCTCAAGCGCTAGAGCGTTAGCCTTGAGCTGAAGAGCTGAGGGACAGTGCCCAGGCCCAGAGTTCAGGCCCCAGGACCGGACCCCCACCCTCCCAAAAAAAAGTCATCGAGTTTCCTGTCCGGGCTGGCTTTGAACCTCTATCTTCAGATCTTAGTCTCTTGAGTAGCTAGGATTACAGGTGTGAGCCATTCGTGCCCGGCTTCATAAATGAACTTATATACCACCACTACTGCCATAAAAATAAGTCTATCACACTTCAACTTTCCCTTCTTGGTGAATATTACCAACCAAGCTTAGAAACTTAGGAGCTCTCTCACTTATCAGTTCAACCACCAATGACTTATAAAACATTATGCTTTAATTTATATGTGAGTGTGTGCATGTGTGTGTGTGTGTATATATATACATATATATGTATATATACATATATACATATACATATATATGTATATACATATATATGTGTATATACATATATATGTATATATACACATATATATGTATATGTGTATATACATATATATGTGTATACACATATACATATATAACTGTAACTGTAGCTAATTCTGCTCTTCATGGGCATCAACAATATTTCTGGTGCCAATCCTGGGCATTGAACTCAGGGGCTAGGTGATATTGCTGAGCCAGTTCGCTCAAGAGTAGTACTCTCCCACTTGTGCCACAGCTCCATTTCTGGCTCTTTGGTGGTTGATTGTAGTCCCACAGATAGATGTTTTTGCTCAGGCTGAGTTTGAACCATGATCCTGAGATCTCAGCCTCCTGAGTAGCTAGGACTGCAGATGTGAGGCATAGGCACCCAGCTAACAATTTTTTTAAATTTTCAATCACAGTATGACACCTCCCCCTAAATAGGTTTTCAATAATTATTAGTTATTGACTACTTAGACCACAAGTAAGAAGCACTCATTTCCTAGGTTCTGAGTACTGTGATTAAAAAAAAAAACTTTACACATTTCATTAAATACTTTCAGAAAGCCTGTGAAACAGGTATCATTGCTGTATTCATTGTAGAGTTAGGAAAGTGGAGTTCATAGCCAATAAATAAATCAATGAGGTACATACATACCCAGAGAACAGGCCAGTCTAATTCTAGTGCCTGTCCTCTTTCCTCTACACCTTATTTCAATCATATCACCTACTTCACTGAAGTTTATCTTGACTATTTACAAGAGGGTTTCTAAGTGGCATGTTTCCGCTTCTATTTTTGTCTGAATGTGCCTACCTCATTCTGAGCCACTCCAGAATTATATCTGTTCCCTCTAGGCCCATCTCCACTTTACATTGCACATCTATTTATTACTATCTGTTCCAGAGCTACATGTCTGTATTCTTCAATGTCTGTGGTGGAAACTACCTGAGTTGTCAGAAGCATTGGGGAAAGGTATGTCTATGTGTTGAAAACTATACAAAATCAAGAAGAGTGCCACAGATCTACTGCTCCAGGGGGGTGTTATATACATTCTTTTATACAGAAAAAAATCTACAATTCTGCCTGAAGCCTAAAAAATTTTCCCCAAGTCAGTGTGATCCTTGAACTTCACTACAAAATTAAGCATGAGAAAACATGCTATGGATCAGGATTGCCTTAGGTAAGGTCAAAATAAAGTCTTTAACCAGGGATTTCTGAACCTACTAGAAATGTTCACGTAATATGGTATGAATGTTGTATGTGTTCACTATAGCTTTTTCAAAAGTCTTTGACAAAAAAGTAAGTACCAGTGTTGTAAAATAACCCATTCAACTGAGTTCAGCTCCATACAGAATAATAAGACTTCAGTCTGTTGTTTATTGTAATTTTTCTGTACTGTTTCTACTCTGTTCTATTTTGTTAACATACATTAACTACTTAGCCAACTTGGGGGAGGTGAATACTTTTTTCCAACTTCTAACAGTTGTTTACTCATATCTCAGTTATAAGGTCTCCTTGTTCTGATTACTCCTGATGGTTCATCATCTTTTTAACCATACTCTGTTTTCTCTATTTCCATGATTATCTAATCACCTTTACAATACTGTCATTAAAAATATTGTAAAGATGATCTACAGAGGGGTTACAGTTATATAAATCAGGTCATGAGTACATTTCTTTTTGAATGGTGTCATCCTTCTCTCATTTTCTCCCAGTTTTTTTTCCCTCCTGACCCTCCTCCCCCCAAGTTGTATAGTTCATTTCCAACAAAGTGTCTAGTTAGTATCACTGCTGAATTAACTCACCTTTTCTCTAATTTTCAAAAAAGTAGATGCAAAATTTTTAGGTAATGTCTTGCTGTGTAGCCTAGGCTGGTAGGTACCAGCATGACCAAAAGTAACTTATTCACACTTGTTTGTGAGTAAGCAAAGCTAATATTAAAATTTAAACCTCCAGAAATAAACTTGCATATTTATGGTCAACATACTTTTGACAAGGAATTCAAGATCATTCAATGGAGAAAGAATACTCTCAAGAAATACTGTGTACAATTTCATCCACATCCAAAATATGTAAAAATTAATTCAATTCAGGCATAGTGGTTCATGCGTATAATCCCAGCACTTGAGAAGTTGATACAGGAGAAC